CGAGCTCCTCTCATCTGAGGGGCTCGTTCGGGTCTCCGCTCGCGCGGATTCCCTCCTCCACCGCGGGCGGGCGAGGCGCCCTCGGGAGCGACCCGAGGAGGCGTCCGCCATGCGCGGGAGCCAGACCGGAAGCCTTTAAATGCATTATCAAAGCCCCCTTCCCAGCTCAAAAATATCATTGGACAAATAAATATCATTATCAATTTTACCCCTTTTGTTTTTATTTTCGGCAGTCTCATTTAATATTAATAAAAAGCAAATCTGCATATTTTTCAATAAAAAACATGTCTGTAATATTTGTTCGTGTCATGCGGCTCTCAAACATCTGATGTTTATTCTGTGTGGCTCTTATGTTAAGCAAGTTTGGCCACCCCTGCCCCCAGGGGAACTGATCTCTGTGAGAGTAGTTGTAATTCCAAGAAATCTCCAGGCCCCAGATGGAGAACGGGCAAGGCTGAGTGGGGCGATTGCCCAAGTCTCAGGTTATTAGAACCTAGTGAGGTGGCTACCTCTCAACCCTGATTTTTGTTGTGGATGGTGGAATAAAGCTAGAGAGGTGAACTCCTCGTTAGAGGTTAGTATCGAGATCTGGGCCAATTGAGGCCCGGTAGGTGCCTGCAGGGATCAAGTTTCTGTAACAGCCTTTCCCTCTAAACCAGGAACATCGTGGCTGCGGGAGACTAGAAAGTAAACCAGGAAGCCTCCCTAGCCAGCTCTTGCTTCTGTTAGGAACTCTCTGGTGACTCTTAAAGACAAAGTGTGTCCCCCGTCCCCACTCCCACTGCAGTGATTTGGCTGCTTTACATATTATTGAGAATGTGTGTGAAATGCTTTGAACATTCTAAAAAGCTACAGAAAGAGTCATTCTTATTATGCTGGAGAGCCGGAAGGTTGCAGCCACCAAATAAGTGAGTTCTTAAAGAGGGAAAAGGAAATAAGGGTGTTTCTCAAAAAGGCAGGACATGACGTTACTTAGGCATGACATTTGCTGACATTAGGCACAGTTTGCTTTGTTCTAAAAGCCATACATGATCCAGCTTTTAAAATAGTTTGATGATGATGATCATGTTGTTGTTGTTGTAAATGTTATGGGCATGGAAGGGGGAGGGGAGCGGTGTCATTTGCAATGTCACCGGAAGTAGTCCGTCATCTAGCTAAACCGCCCAGCATCTATGCAGATCAAAAAAAAATTAAGGGGGGATAACACACAAAGAGCTAAGATATGTGTTTCTGCACACTCATGGGATCCTGCCAACCTAGCAGTTCGAAAGCAAGAAATTGCAAGTAGATAAATAGGTACCACTTCGGTGGGAAGGTAACAGCGTTCCGTGCACCTTGGTGTTTAGTCATGCCGGCCACATGACCACGGAAACGTCTTCAGACAGCGCTGGCTCTTCAGCTTTGAAACGGAGATGAGCACCGCAACCCTAGAGTCGGATTCGACTGGCTTTCGAGCAAGGGAACCTTTACCTTTTACACTCATGGGAAGCCACAGGAAGCAAGCAAGCAAGAAAGAAAAACCCAAAAATTGTAATAACGACAGCTGTGCATGTGCAGACATCACGGAATAAACTAGTCTAGAACTTGGGGGGGGGGAGGCATCTTACATTGCTGCATACGGCACCCACCAATGGGAGGTGGTGAATGCAGAAGGAAGTAGAAGTAGGGAGAGGAGACGGGTTGAAAGGAGAGACCATGGGGCAGCAAAAGGCTAGGAAGCAGAGTAGGGGCTGACATGGGGGGGATTCAGGAAGGATGCAGAGGGGGGGGGAGAGAGGGAGAGAAGGAAGTGAGTTTGGTGGAAGAAACAGGAGAGGGGATAAGACCAAGTGAAAGAGAAACCACAGGTCTGGAGGTGGGTTAAGGAGAGTAGGAAGGGCAAGCTGTTGGAGGCAGGAAAGACCAGGTGGTTTGCCAGACAAAAGGATGAGAGAAGAAGAAGAGCTTGGAAGGATGGGCTGACCAGGCGACGAAGCAGAGATGGGGCACGAGAGAGGGAAGCCGGGTGGGAACTAGATTCCCACTGCACAGGGTTGCTAAGCTCCAGGTGGTGGCTGGAGACCTGGGATGACACTGAGCTGCAGGCCACGGAGATCAGTTCACCTGGAGAAAATGAACAATATGGAAGATGGACTCCGTGGCATGAGACCTCACTGAAGTCCCTCTCTTCCCCAAACTCCGCCCTCCTCAGGCTCCACCCCCAAAACCTCCAGGTATTTCCCAACCCAGAGCTGGCAACCCTACCCCCCCCCGGTGGGTCCTAATCATGAAAGTTCTTGGTGGGGGGGGAGTTGCTGGGAAGGCCACAGATTTAAAATGTAATCATCAATTTGGCGAGAAAAGTGGGGTACAGTCTGCTCAGCTTTGCTACCAGATGCAAGCATTTAGGAAAGGACTGAGCTCCTCCTTACCACTAAAACAATCATAGAATCCTGGAGTCAGAAGGGACCTCCAGGGTCATCTAGTCCAACCCCCTGCACAATGCAGGGAATTCACAAATACCTCCCCCTCCACACCCACACACCCAGTGACCCCTGCTCCATGCCCAGAAGATGACAAAAAAAAACCCCTCCAGGATCCCTGGCCAAACTGGCCTGGAGAAAAATGGCTTCCTGACCCCAAAGTGGCGATCAGCATTTCCCTGGGCGTGTAAGAAAGGGCCACGGGGACTAACCACTGATGCAACTAAGCACTGATGCAACAATATACCAGTCTGTGAAGGAGACTGGTCACACTTCCGCAGAGCCCAGCCTCCCTTCCCTGCTAATCACCCCCCTGCTCTAGCAGATCTAGAGAAGAGATTGGATTTATACCCCGCCCTTCACTAGGAGTCTCAGAGTGGCTTACAAACTCCTTTCCCTTCCCCTCCCCACAACAGACACCCTGTGATGTAGGTGGGGCTGAGAGAGCTCCCTCGAGAACTGCTCTTTCAAGAACAGCTCTGACTGAACTATGGCTTGCCCAAGGTCCTCCAGCAGCTGCAAGTGGAGGAGTGGGGAATCAAACCCGGTTCTCCCAGATTAGAGTCCACGCGGTTAACCAGTACACCAAACTGGCTCTCTAGCACCTGCCCACTCCTGCCAGGAACCGTACATGTCCAGCCCTCACAGTGGGTTGCACACTGTGGCAGAGCAACAGCTTGGCAAGCTGAAGGCCCCAAGTTCAGTCCCCAGCATCTCCAGTTTAAAGGATGAGACAGTGGTTGATGTCAAAGACCTCCACCCCGGAGAGCTGCTGCCTATCACAGTAGACAACACTGACCTTGACAGACCAAAGGTCTGACTCATTATAAGGCAGCTTGCATTAGACAGGGTGAGTGCATCTGCCTTTGTTTTGCATGCTCTGAGGGCTCAGAGCTCAAAGGGGTTAGATGAGGTAGACAAGAAGGACATCGGACGCGGCACCTGTCTTGTCAGAATCTCCTTGCCCTGTGCTCATGCCAAAGGAGGCAGATGTGGTGCCCTCACTAAGCATGAGGCAGGCACGGGAACAGTCACGCGGCTGCTTTGGGCACAAAGAGATATTGCGCGGCTCCTGGGCTATTTTCAGAATGGCAGGCATCCCAAGCCCAAATATGGGGAACTATGTATCGGCTGGTGGTGGCCTGTACATACGAGCAAAGGGACCTCCTGCGCAGGGGCACACTCTCTAAGGATGTTTTCCCACAAACCAGGGCACTTTGCATGATAGATTCCTTTTTTGGGGGGGGGGAGCTATCCAGGAGGGTATGGCTTATTTCTCTACGATTGACACTGATTTCATGGATGGGGTCCATTCCTGCCTTCTATTCCCCCATTAAGTAAGAACATGAAGTCTTGGGTGAGCATTGCAAAGTTCTGTGCTCAGCTTCCTTGAGAAGCGGAAGCCTTGCCTATGGTGGACAGAGACACCCTGGGGGGGGGGATATTAAACCCCCCCTGTTTTGAAAGTTGAGATGTACATGCCTCTTTCCAGAGGAGCTCCTTTCCTGGCTTCTTTTAGGCTTCCCCCCTAATTCACATACTCTACCCTCCACACCAAGACCCAATGAAAACTGCACGTGGCACCAGCTCTACTCAGATATCATCACATCCAGAGCTTGCTTGCCACGTGGATCGGCCTGATCATAAGGAGAGCCTCTGTGGTAGTAGCAGTAGCCACAGGAAATGTGCATTAACATGTGCTCGAGGCAAGCTGCATACGAATGCTATGTAGCCCCCATATGGAGTCACTGCCACACGGGTCTTTTCCACCTGCCTCCACGTGATGAATGTACCCAGGTTTGGTGCTCAGGGAAGCTGGCTTGTGCCTGGGTCAGCCTCCAAGGGCTTCTGATGGAGGCTTTGCCAGCCACCTTGCGCCCATGAACATCCTGTCCTGATTCCAGCCACCCACCTGTTTGGACAGTGGGAACAGTGTACTCTAGCTACGTGCACTCTGTGATTTTACAAGGGAAATTGAGATGCTATGCCAAGGTAACCAAATTCTGCATCCAGAGAAGCCCAGCTGTTCATCTTGCTTGTTCATACTGCTTTGCATTCATTCATTCTGCTGCCATGACTTATGGAAAGGGGGCAAGAAGGCACTGAAACCCGATAACCTTCCCAATGGAAAGCTTGCTTGTGCTTACCTGTGGCCCCTCTGATTTCACCGGGCATTGTCTGTACGTCTCAACACCTGTCTGTGCCATCACAATAGCTGGAAATAGGCTTACTTTTTCAAAACAAAAGCTGAAATACCTGGGATTTTGCATATGCTGCCCAATACCAAATTGCTTGCAGAAAACACCCACCACCCCAGGTCTGCACATGGATGCTGCAAGCCATATACTTGAACTTGAAAGCACAAGAAATAGTGCACAATGAGCCTCTATAGGAGAAGCTGCCTTGTACTAAGTCAGGCATAAAGTCTACTTAACCTAGAACTTCCCATTCTGAGTGGGTCTTTGGTGAAGATAATTCCCAGGTCCTCTACCTCAGATTGGCAAGGATGCTAGAGACCAAACCGCTATGGCCTGGCTGCAGGGACTGGACATGCTGCTGTGCATCTATTTGCATTAAAAGGTACCTGAAGAGATAGTCACTCCAACCCAAGAGAACACAGCTTCCAAACAGGTGTCTATCATCCATCTATCCATCTATCTACCTGTCTATCTACCTGTCTATCTACCTGTCTACCTACCTATCTATCTCATTTTTAACACCAGGAATGGAAGTTGGGTCCTTAATATATGCAAAATATTCGACCTGCTTTCCCTTTTCTGATTATTCACTAAAAAGCAGTGAATCAGGAAGGTGGGACGCTCCAATGAACACATGAAGCTGCCTTATGATGAATCAGACCCCTGGTCCATCGAAGTCAGTGCTGTCTACTCAGACTCGCAGCCACTCTGTAGGGTCTCAGGCGGAGGTCTTTCACATCACCTGAACCTATTTTTCAAGTCAGAGATGCTGGGGATTGAACCTGAGATCTTCTGCGTGCAAAGCAAGTGCTCTGCCACTGAGCCACAGCTCCTCCTCATGCAGGTATGCAAGCGGGGAGCACGGACAAGAAAGGACCAGCGACCAGGGATGGCTCTCTGTCCACAAGACACGGCATGTGAACGTCTCCCTGGCATCAGGGTGCCCCCTGTCTGACAGGCGAGAGCACGGGATTTGATGGACCTCAAACTCGACCCGGCAGAATCCATCTGCATGAGCCGGGGGTGGGGTGGGGTGGGGTGGAGGGACGAGATGGATGTACACAGCAGCAACGCCACCCACTTGTGCAGCACTGCAATCTCGTTCTCGATGCTGGTCTCCTTCCCCTCCAGCACCTTCTTGGCAATGCACTTGATGGCTACCAGCTTCTGGGTGGACTTCTCTTCGGCCAGCACCACTTCGGAGAAGGCGCCGCTGGGGAAAAGACAGAGACAGAAACAGAGATGAGCTCCCCAATCAGCAGAGAGAAAGAGAGCCCGATTCCGCAACAGAGATGTGGGTCTCCGTTTCGAAGGGAGAGGAACGCCTTGAAACTTCATAGGGCTTGGCTTGGGTGGGGCGGGGGGGGAGGCGAGGCCAGCAACCCAGAGGAGCAAGCTTGTCCCCCTCCCGTCATCCTCTACCCTGCCATCCTGCCAGCACCAGCCCCCCCCTCCCCATTACACCCAGCTGGATCTCTCACCCAGCCACTGTCACCACAGCAACCTGCAGAATCTCATCTATTTATAGGAGAACATGTGAGAGAGATGGCACCGGGCAGGCGGGCAGGCAGGCGAGTGTGTGCCAGGAGGAAGAGGCTGGGGGTGGGAGGCGGCACCGGGCAAGGCACAGGGAGAAGGAGCCAGGTAGGAGGAGCACAGATGCTGGGCACACTCTGCGGTCTGGGACGGGGAACATCGTGGCGGGGGAGAGAGAAAGAGCTGTGCAGATGGGCTCTGAATGACAGCAACTCTAGCAGAGCTTTCCAGCATCTGCAGAGAGACCGGAAAGGGGGGGGGAAATCATACATAGTAGGGGGAACAGCCATAGATGTCCAACAAGAATTGGGGCAGAGGGGGGAAAGACCCAAGCCTCCCTGCATCAGCAGACTCTGTCCTTTAGGGTTGCCAGGTCCCCCCTGGCCAGCAGTGGGGGGATGGGGGGCAGGGCCCCCAGATCCAGGTTGGGACATACTTGGAGATTTGAGGATGGAGCCCGGGGGGAGGACAGGGACCTCAGTGGGATAAACGGCCATAGAGTCCACCCTCCAAAACATCCATTTTCTCTTGGGGAACTAATCTCTGTAGTCTGGAGGTGAGCCGTAATTGGTAGGGGATCCCCAATTCTCCCCTGGAGGTTGGAAACACTAACACACATCGATGTGCTTCCGTGTCCTTGCAAGCACAAGTGTGGGCGTGCATGCGTACACACAAAAAACCGAGTTTCTTCTGCAGGCCTTGAAGTGGTACAAGGAGGACACAAAGTGACCCAAAAAGAAAAGAAAAAGAAAAGAGGAAGCCACCCTGACCCCCCCTCCTTGCTTATCTCCAGTCTTGTGACTGCAGAGGCCTCAGTCCCAGCGAAGACAGTGCTGAAAAAGGGGCGGGTGGGGAAACAGCAGGGCCTAGCCAGTTCCACCCTGGGCACAGGAAGAAGGGCTTGTGTGATCTGTGCAGATGCAAGCGCTGAAGTCAAGGCGCCGCCACAGAGCACAGCAGAGTGCCAGGAACCAGCTGTTCCAAGGGCACTGGAGCACACAGTTACCCTGAAGCGCTTCAGCTATATTCTGCCACTGGAGAGATGTCAGAGAACCCTCTTGGACCTTACCAGAAAACGTCCTGCTTGCCAGCAGATCCTTATGGTCAGGGAAGGGATGCACAAGGGAATGTGAAACCGCTGTCTGGCTTAGCCACCCTACTTCACCTGTACCCATCGTCCGCTCTGTACCAACAACTCAAACCAGATGTGCAGCATAATACGACACAGAGGATACACTACATGAATACATGAAGCTGCCTCATGCTGAATCGGACCCTTGGTCCATCGAGGTCAGTATTGTCTACTCAGACTGACAGCAGCTCTCCAGGGTCTCAAAGTCAAGGTGTTTCCCATCACCCCCTACCTGGTCCTTTTAGAAGAAGCAGAAGAGAAGAGATTGGATTTATACCCCTCCCTTCACTACCCAAGGGAGTCTCAGAGCGGCTTACAAACTCCTTTCCCTTCCCCTCCCCACAACAGACACCCTGTGAGGTGGGTGGGGCTGAGAGAGCTCTTGACAGAAGCTGCTCTTTTTCAAGGACAGCTCTTATCAGAGCTACGGCTTTCCCAAGGGCATCCAGCCAGGTGCAAATGGAGGAGTGGGGAATCACACCCAGTTCTCCCAGGTTAGAGTCCACGCTCTTAACCACTACACCAAACTGGCTCTCAAACTGGCTCTCTTTTAACTGGAGAGGGAGCCTGGGACCTTCTGCATGCAAAGCAGAGGCTCTACCACTGAGCCACAGCCCATAAGGGGGCAATGACGTACCTGTTTACACAAGACAACGTCACTTATTCTGGAATAGGATTACCAATTTTGGGGCAGTACCTGAGGAAAGGCAGAGTTTGGGAAGGCGAGGGAGCTCAGTGAGGATGTGATCCATAAGAACATAAGACGAGCCCTGCTGGATCAGACCAGTGGTCCATTAAGTCCAGCATCCTGTCTCACACAGTGGCCAACCAGTTCCTCTGAAGGGCCATCAACAGGGCAGAGAGGCCAAGGCCCTTCCCCTGATGTTGCCTCCTGGCTCTGGGATTCAGAGGATTAGTGCCTCTAAAATGTGGAGGTTCCCTTCAGTCACCATGGCTAGTAACCACTGATAGACTTATTCTCCAAAGTCCACCCTCCAAAGCTGCCATTCCTCCAGAAGAACTGCTAGAGATCAGCTATAATTCTGGGAGGACTTTAGCCGCCACCACCTTGAGATCATCAGTGTGTTGATGCAAAGCGCTGTCAATTTATGGTGACCCCACAGGATTTTCAACGCTAGAGAGGTGATTTGCCATTGCTTGCCTCTGCATAGCAACCCTGGACTTTCCCAGTAGTCTCCCATCCAAGTACTAACCAAATCCTTCCCATGAGCTTGGTTTCCAGACATTAGCAATCAAAGTTCTTTTCGGTCACCTTCTTTGGAATGAATTGTTGTTCTTTTCTCTCTCCAAAAGAAAAAGAATAGACCCGACTTCCTTCCTACTTCCTTTTTTCTTAATAGCATGCACATAGCTGAAAGGCCTTCTTTTTAAAGGGCAGCGGCTGCTGGGTTTAAGAGCAACAAAGGTCCCAGTCACACCAGCAGGAAAAGCCATGGGGGAAGTGCGGCTTTTTAGAGCCGCAACAAACTGAAGCGCACTATCGTGATCTCACATTCCCACGTGGCTCCGTCCTTCGGCAGCCGATCACACCATGCAAGGCAACAACGACGCACCGCGTTTGTGCACATGCATGGGATGCAGACGGGTGCTGGATGCGACAGCCTACCAACGTGTCCCTAATCAGACACCTTCCTGAAGATACTGCTTGTTTGCTGGTACCTTTTTAAACCACATCTTCAGCTGGAAGGGACGGGTTGGGGGCGGGGCACGACGCTTGCCAGATGCTGGCATCTGATCACGCCGGTTTAATCGGCCCTCAATCCATCCGTTCTGCGGGGCAATTCCTCCCGTGTGACCGGGGCCACTATAAAAGTTTTTATGTATTGCTGGTACTGAGACCAATAACCCTATTCTAAAATGGACAATTCAGAGGAGCTGCCCTAGTCTCTTTTTGTACTCTCAGTCATTGTTTAGAATAGTCATTCCTTCACCTTAAACGTGTGAACGATTACTCCATTAACTTCTCTGACTGGGTGCTAAAAATGTAACTTGCTTTAAGTGACCCATGCTGGACTTATGTTACATAGTTTCTTTCTATTCATCTGAACTACATTTTTTTTTTCTTGCAAGCTACTTTGAGACCCCCAGTAGGGAGAAAAGCAGGCTAGCCCTCATAAATAGATCAAGAAGCAAAAGGCTGTGATCCTGCAGCCAAGCCATCACCTCGCAACTGTAGAAGAAGAAGAAGAAGAGAAGAGAAGAGATTGGATTTATACCCCGCCCTTCACTTGGAGTCTCAGAGCGGCTTACAAACTCCTTTCCCTTCCCCTCCCCACAACAGACACCCTGTGAGGTGGGTGGCGCTGAGAGAGCTCTGACACAAACTGCTCTTTTTCAAA